TCCCTCTGAATTTGTCAGTCTGTTACATGCACTCATGTTGCTGGACCTATTATGTCAGTTTATTTTGTTCATTAGATTCCACATATAATTCAGTTCTCACTGGCCTAGTTCCCTCCTTTCCTATTCTTCCTATTCCATTTTAAAAAGCCCAGTTGATTTTTTTTTTTTGCCATTATAGGGATTCAATAAGTTCCCAGCACCATAAGCTAGAGAACAAATAACAGTTAATAACAAATGCAAAATGAATTCCTCTGTATCAACTACAGAATAGAATAAGTGAATCAGACAACTCAAAGGTCAACAATTGGACTTTAATGAATAATTTTGGTAAAAGCATTTTTGCACAGATATGCAAATCTAAAGCATACAAAAATAAAGATTCCTACTCTCCTTAAATACTTCTTGGTACAGCTGTGAGTCAGTTTAACTTGATATATATTTCAGAGCTTAAAAACCAAGAAACTAACAAATTTTTGCAGTTAAACTTGTGACACATACATTTCTTTTCCTAACACTGGAAATACTTTAACTTGTTATTTTTATTGATGGGTTTGCCTTTTAAAAGTTTTCCTAAGAACAAATATAAGAAAAAAGTATCTATATAGATTATCCATCATTCTTTGAACATTACTTAGGAATAACACAGTCTTAAAATAGATCAATTTTGAAAAACAATGACAAAATGCTGGAATGTTATTCTTATATTCAGGATCTTTTTGAAAAAGAAATGAGTATTAAAAAAATAATTTTGTCCTGGCACTGGTGGGATGAGATACACTTTTACTGTTGACAAATTCAACACATAACAGTGTCTGCTTTAAAAGAGATCAAAGCTAACAGGTAACATGAAGAAGAGAAGCCAACTTTAGGAGATGCATTCATTCCAGTGTACTTAGTTAATCCCTCAGGTTTTACCAGCACATTCCAAAAAACAGATGCATTCCCTAATTTCACACATATTTAACAATTTAACTTTCCCTATAGATATAAAGTATGTTTATCTCTTTGAAAGCTCCATTCTTAACTGCAAAAAAAAAAAAGGTTATTATAAGAACCCAATTCTAAGTGCCTCAACAACATTTATCCATCACAAGTAGCTACCAGTATTTCTTAAGAGGAATATGACTTGCATTGTGAATAAGACAATTCTTAGTTGTGTGAGACCATTCCAGATACTGCAGAACATTTAGCATTTCTGGACCATTCACTAAAAGCCAGCAGTTTTTAGTCACTGTGACAATCAAAAATACACACCCATAACATTTCCAACTGCCCCTTGATGAGAACCATTGAGCTAGATACAAGATTAATGTCAATTAACTTAACTTCCACAGAAGTAACTGCTTCAAAATCTTCAGTAACAATGACTGAAGAACATTTTGTTTAAAATACATTGTAATTAAATGTTCTTTTGCAAAGATAAGCTGATTTCTTCAAATTTATGGTGACCTGAAAGAATAGGATGTACAAAATGCAATATTTATTTATCCCCAAATGCACCCATACATTTACAGGAAAATAACTTGATGTTCTACTAGCATATCTAACCCCACTTATCTTAGTATAAAAATATTTTTGCCTACTACAATAAGATAAAAAAAAACATATAGAGCTTCTTAATAAATTCCCTCATGCTGATGTTCCTGAAAACTGCTGCTGTCTTTGCTCCAAAACTTGCTGATTTAATAGTTGTTGTTGTTTCTGTAAAAAATGCACCACTTCTGGGCTTCTTAGTAATGACTTAAAGAAAACAGAAAAAACATATTTATTAATAGTGTTATTCTTATGGGATTAGATTGTATTCATGCTATGACACTACTCTGATAAGTCCCTACACAAGATCCAATATGCTTAGAAAACAAAACATGCCTAAATTAATGTTTGCACCTGATACACTGCATTTAAACTGTAAACTAATAGTAAAATTGGATGTCATACATCAAAATACTAAAACTTAAAAATAGTGGGTGAAACCTGAACATATTGGTGACTTTGCACACAAAGGAAATGCTTTATATGACATGGCAGCATATAAAGAGCCAATAGCACTGACCCAGGATTTGAGCAAGAAAAAAAAAGAAAATGAAAAGAGGCTACATATGAAAATGACAGTAAAATGCCACTTTGGAAATACATTTAAGACTTGTACTGGAACTCAAATTTCTCCCATGAGCCTACTAAGTCTTTCTGAAGAAATAAAAAATAGTATATACGTGTGAGTAAGTATAGGTATGTGTATATTGATAGGTACGTTACAAAAATTTCTAAAAAGAAAGAATAAAACTGCTGTAAAATAACCAATACGTTTTGTACACATTTCATTTTAAAATACAGTTGTAATAATAAAACAAATATAATAGACTATGGTTAATATGTTTTTATTATAATAAAATACATATAAAATTGATGAAGAAATAAAACCATGGCTACAATTAGTTGAAAAAAATAAACTGAATAATGTAGAAATACTGTCATTAAATACTGATTTTAAATTTATAAAATTTATATTATAGTATAGTATAGTACATTTCCTATTAGCTTTATTTAAAACTTAGTTGTAAAAACTACCCAACATCTTATTAAATAAATGTACAACAGTTTTCTTAACTGTTATGAAACTGATGAACATTTAGGTTGTTTATACTACTATTTTACTATTGATGATAAATACATTTCTGGCAACATCTTTATGCTTTATCCAAATTTAGTATTTATTTTCTTAAATGTCTTTTTTTAATGTTTTATCTTTATTGCTGAAAGTATTACAAATGTCCCTTTCCCCCATTGATTCCCTCCACACTGCAAATCCCTCCCCCACCAGGCCTTCACCACACTATTGTCTGTATCCATGGGTTATCAATATACGCATATAAGTTCTTAGGTTAATCACTCCCCAAACATACACTCACCCCTGCCTTCCCTCTAAGATTCATCAATCTGTTCCATGCTTCTATGTCTCTGGATCTATTTTGTTCATCAGTTTATTTTGTTCATTAGATTCCACATGAGTAAGATCATGTGATACTTGTCTTTCTCTGACTGGCTTATTTCAATTAGCATAATAACTCCACAGGTCACACCATGCTGTCTCAAAGGGTAAGAGATCTATCTTTTTTACAGCGGCATAGTATTTCATGGTGCAAATGTCTGAGAAGATGCTTAATATGATTTCAATCTTCCAGAACTTGTAGAGATTTGTTTTGTGTCCTAAGATGTGATCTATCTCTGTGTCCCATGTGCACTTGAAGAGATTGTATATTCTGCAACTTTGCAGAAAAATGTTCTGTAAATGTCAATGAAATCCACCTGATCTAGTGTGTCCTTTAGAGTCACTGTTTCCTTGAAGTTTTTTGTTTGTTTTTTCAGCTTGTGTGAGTCTTTTGTTCTGAGGTGGGTCTCTTGTAGATAGCATATTTTTGAGTCTTGTTTTCTTATCCATTCAGCTACCCTATGTCCTTTGATTGGAGCATTTTATCCATTTATATTTAAGGTTATTATTGATAGGTACTTACCAATTTTATTTCTTTATGCCTATGTTCCTCTTACTCTCTAATTCAACTTCTTATTCCAGCAGTCCCTTTAACATTTCTTGCAATGCTGGTTTGGTGGTCATAAACTCCTTTAGCCTTTTTTGTCTGGGAAGCTCTTTATTTCACCATCTATTTTGAATGATAGCCTTGCTGGATAGAATAGTCTTGGTTTCAGATCTTTGCTTTTTATTACCTTGAATACTTCATGCCATTCCCTTCTGGCCTGTAGAATTTCTGATGAGAAATCAGCTGACAGCCTTATGGGTGCTCCTTTGTAGGTAACAGATTGCTTTTTTCTTTCTGCCCTTAAGATTCTTTGTTTTGAATTTTTGGCATTTTAATTATGATGTGTCTGGGTGTGGTTCTCTTTGGGTTCTTCTTGCTTGGGACTCTCTGTGCCTCATAAACTTGTGTGACTTTTCCTTCACCAGGTTAGGGAAGTTTTCTGCCATTGTTCCTTCAAACAGGTTCTCTAACCCTTGCTTACTTTCTAGATCTTCTGGTACTCCTATGATGGGACAATTGTTACATTTCATGTTGTCCCACAGCTCCCTTAAACTGTCCTCTTGTTTTTGAGTAGTATTTTCTTTTTGGATCTCTGATTGAGTGATTTGTTTCTACCCTGTCTTCTAACTCACTGATCCAATCCTCTGCATCCCTAATCTGCTCTTTTTTCCCTCCAATATTATTATTTTTTATTTCTACAAGTCATTCTTAATTTCCTTCATAGTTTCTACATTTTTCTCATGCTGTTAAGCATCCATACAATCTATTCTGAACTTTTATCTGATAGATTGTTTATCTCTATTTCATTTAGCTCTTCTTTTGGAGAATTCTTTTGTTCTTTCATTTGGAGCTAGTTTTTTGTCTTTCCATTCTGGCTGCCTATCTGGCTGTTTCTATGGATTAGGAGATCTGCTAAGACTCACAGTCATTTGGATGGTCTCAGGTGCAGGCCAATGACACGTGCTGTTTGTGACCTGCCTTGAGTACCCTGTTTGAAGCTTTCTGCACTCCACAGCATGTGGTTATCTCTGCTGGGGCTGCATGCATTTGGAAAGGACCAAGATGTGTACCAAGCCCTGGCTCCAGAAGCAGATTAGGCAAAGACTCAAAGCACATAGGGGTTAAATGTTATTCAGTCTCTTAACAAGCATCAGGAGCAGAAACTCCACAGGGTGGGGCAACTGCTTCTCCCCCAAGGCAAAAGCTTCTTGGATGTTAAATGTTTACCTGAGAAAGATATCCTCTGCCATATAGAGGAATGACTTGGCACAGGAATCCAGATGGGTGCCCTCTGAGCTCTACTCCCCTGAACCAGCAATCCCAGACTCTCCTCACACAGCTCTAATCCACTCTGCTGTCTGCTGGAGCTCAAGGTGAGTGGCTGCACACAAATCTTTGTGCACTGACCCTTTAAGAGGGTGCCTGCATTTCCAGCTCTCTCCCTGGCAGACAGAAACCCCACTGCTTTTCATAGCCAGATGTGAGGTGGGCACATTTCTCAGTTCTGGTGCTCTGGGCTGGGAAATCCAGCTTGGGGTTTAGACTCCAGAGTTCTCAGTGGGAACCTCCCACAGCTGAGATACCCATCCAGACCTTCAGCTGCTGCCTGTGGGAGCCTGGCCAGCCCTCTCCAGCCTCTGCACTTCCAACCAGTCTCTCTATGTGGTCTCCGCTGTAGGTCCTTGGTTGTGAGGGTGCTCTCCAGCTCGTCTTCAGTTGCAGTTGATTATTCAGGGTGGTTTTTCTCTATTTTGTTTTAATTCCAATTTGGTACTGGGAGAGTGTCAATGTAGCTTCCACTCAATCTGCTGCTCTCTTGGAATCCTCTGAATATCTTCACAGTAAATATGATTTCTGAGTCAAAGGAGATGCCCATTTTAAAGACTCCTGATACACAATGCTCAACTGTTTTCTAGAAGTGTTGTGCCAATACAGAATGCCATTAACAGAACATAATGAGTGCCCATTTCATGGGACCCTCAACATCACTGTGCGTTATCATTTAAACTGTGTTACTGTTTATTGTGTTATCAATATTGTATTATTGCATACCTTTCCATATCATCTAATGTTAGTACTTTTTTTTCCTTATTATATCTTTTGCAGTATATTGAGGCCAAATTTTTTTCCTCAGCAATTTATATTTTACATAACAAAAATATTAACCATAGTTCTTTCATATTTGCAGCAAATATTTTTCCTATGTTAAGTTTGCATTTTTACCATTTTTGACTTTAGCATTCATTTTTATGTAGTCAAATTTATAATCTTTCCTTTGAAATTTTATCTCTTGTAAACTAAAAATTCCCATTCCTAATTTTTTAAAAAACATTTTTATTGATGTTTCAGAGAGAGAAGGGAGTGGGAGAAACACCTTTGTGAGACCTGAACATAGATCAGCTGCCTCCTGCCAGCCCCCTACTGGGGATTGAGCCCACAACCTGGGCATGTGCCCTAACAGGAGATCAAACTGGTGCACGGGACAACGCCCAACCAAGCCACAAGGGCCAGAGCTCCCATTCCAGATTTTTGAGATAAACTCCTAATTTTTTTTTTAATTTAAAAAATCTTTATCAAGAATTTATCTTGATGTATAGTGTGATATGACAAGCTAAATTATTTTTGTCATCAAATTATTATCCAATTATTCCAGTATTTATTGAGTAATCTCTCCTGAGTGAGTCCTGATATCTTCTATCAAATTTTTAAGAGATCCTTATTAAATATTGGTCTAATTATATCTCAATACCATTAAAGCATTATTCCACAAACCCCAGAATTCAGTACAAAGAGTCTATTTTAAAATTCCATCTTGCTCAGATATCCTGGCTTAGGCAATGAAGATATCAGATTAAAAGTATTACTGCTCAGCCATGCACCAAGAGGTCATGAGTTCGATTCCCGGTCAGGGAATGTTATTCTCTCACTGATGTTTTTCTCTCTTTCTTCCCACTTTCTCTTTCTCTCTTAGAAAAAGGAAAAAAAATCAATAAAAACATATATAAAAAAATAAAAAGTATTCCTGCTCATATAGTCTTGAGAGAGCATTATGAGGGTCCAGTGTATACCAGCAGAGGCAAAATTCAATTCTGATGACCAGTTTAACAATGTTTAAAATCTCGAAATCTAAATTTTCCATTAATAAAAAAATCTTTTCTTAATAGATTTGTAACTACTTTACAGATACTTACCAGTCTTTTTTGATTTAACACTTGTTCTAAAAGTGTAGGCCTTGCAGGACGATCCCCAAAAGCTCCTGTTCTTTGTTTAACAATTGAGAGTATATTATCTGTACTTTCCTGGAATAAATGATAAAAATACAAATAGGATTAACATTTAACAAGTAATCCATGATTACAGGCATTTCAATGATGAAGTGAATAGGTCTTTGATTCTCTTCCTTCTTTTCCAGTCCTTGGACAAATCATAGACAAATGTTGACAATTAACTTGATATAACACTCCTCACTTCCACTCCCTCTAGGATTTCCAAACTGGGATCTTCAGTCTCTTGAAGGGTCTTAAAATCAATAGTGGGGCAGAAGTGGTGGGGGTAGGGGTGGGGAGGAAAAAGTTACTTGTGAGCTATTTTTCAATATTATAAAAAATGCCAAGTAGAAATTGAACATTTTCTTCATAGAAAGCTATCCAGGCCAAAACAAAGTCTGCCTGCCTTTGGGTGGAATATATGAACTCAAAGGCAACTTACATATTAGACATTCTGATACTTTTTTGCCCAATTAACAACAAAAAATAAAGGGGAGGCAGTAAAATATTGCTTAAAGAAACAAATGACAGACAAAGCTTTTAAAATTTGAAAGTTATAAGGAGAAAAATGACAAACTGGTTTTGAACAGATTGGAAAAGACTAGCATAAACAAAGTAGGTGAGTCCTAAAATGACACCATGCCCTAGACATCATTACCCAAACAAAATCAGTAGTACTTGCTACCAAGTATGTACCCAGAGTTATCTGATAGAATCTTAAACACTTAAGATTCCTAACATAACAAAATATGGTTATTGTTCTAGTTAACTGAAACATTTTCTTAGAAAAACATGATGTAGTCCTGGCTGTTGTGACTCAGTGGTTAGAGCATTGGCCTACACAACGGAGGGTTTAGGGTTCGGTTCCTGGTCAAGAGCATGTACCTGGGTTGCAGGTCTGATCTGTACCCCCAGTCGAGGTATGTGTGGGAGGCAACCAATTGATGTGTTTCTGTCGCATCCATGTTTCTTTCTCTCTCTCCTCCTTCCCTCTCCCTTCTACTCTCTCTAAAAATCAATGGAAAAAATATCTTCACCCCTTGGGTAAGGATTAAAAGAACAAAAACAAATAACATGATACAATATTTACCACATCCAAAAACTCTAAATAAATATAAAACTATACATGTTTTATTATGAAGCCATGCCTAATGTGAGTTTACTCACCTCTTTGCTCTTCATTTAGGTTATCAAAGCTTTTTTTTTTCTTTTGGCCTTCCCTCTACTGGCCTCTGCATTGTCTATTAGAATATCCCCTTTTTTCTTTCATTATGAGAATTTACCAACCTATTTTAAAAATGTTCAATCCCTAAACAATTTAGGCTTCAAAATGTATAAAAACTGTTAAAAGAGGATTCTAATACCCAGAGAAAGCAAAAATAATCTCTCCCTTCCTCTCTCCTCATAAAATGTGTCTTGCTTTTCTTTATTTATGGGACTAACTTTTTTAAATTAAATTTTTTGGGATAACATTGGTTAATAATAATATATAAATTTCAGGTGTCCAACTTTATAATACACTATCTGTATACTCGATTGTGTGCTTACCACCTGAAGTCTAGTTTCCTTCTGTCACTATATGTTTAACCCTCTTTATCCCTTCATCCTCCCCCAACCCCCCTTTGTCTCTGGTAACCATCATTCTGTGGGATTGTTTCATTTTTATCTGCACAAGGAATGGCATGACGAAATTGACTTGACGGTAGAATATCCTGTATTCTCAACAACCCCTGACAAAGCACTGTGTAGATTCAGAATGTTAATATCACAAAATCATAGAAGCTTGCAGTGGAAATAACCTTGAGTTATCTAGTCGAACTTCTATAAATACTGAATTACCTTTTCAAAGATTTTGAATGCTTTTTGTACTGAGGAGCTTAACTAACTTTTGAGGCAACCCATTTGGTTTTGAATAGCTCTAACATTTAGGTGGCTTTTAGTTAGGTTCAGCTGAAAAACATAACTCTTGTGATTTTCAGCTAAGTACTAGTTACTTCAGAACTATGCAAAATAAATCTACTGCCTCTTTGAAATGATAGCCTTTTAGATATTAAATGATTACAATCCCACAGGTTAATTCTTTTATCCCTTGTTCATGTGCCTCTCACATAGAACAGTTTTTAGATACATGAACTAATTATTATATATACATTTGTTCCTTATTTAACATTGATTTGTGTAAGAAATACTGATTTAATAATTTCTAATCTTGCTGCTCAAACTATAGCAGAAGACCCATGTAATCATCTATGAGTCCCTACTATAATGATCTTCTAAAGAGTCTATACATCTACAGGCTTTTGACTTTAATCCACCCCAGCAGTGTCGGAGCCCCAGTAATTCCCTAAATAGAAACTGTCATTTAAGACTCCAAATCCAAACCCCATAGCCTGGCATTCAATACCATACAAAAATTGGCTTCAAATCCTTTTTCTACATTTATCTTTCATGAATTTTTCACAAAGATTCTACTCAAGCTAGAATGGTCCACTTGCTGTAATCTCAAAGTGTCTTCATATTACCACTTTCCTTTCTTTACTAAAATGTGCCTCTCTTTCTTTTTACCTACCAAAATTCTAGGGAAGCGGTAGAGTGTGGGGTTAAGACTGAAGGCTCTGGAATCAAATTGCTTGGGTTTAAGTACTTGATGGCTGTATGATCTAGGCCATGTTACTTTACTTCTCTGAGCCTCAGTTTCCACATATGTCAAATATAGTACCTATCTCATTGTGAGGTTTCATTTACAGCTTAACACAGTGTATGGCACATAAGAAACTTAGCTGATTAAGCATATCTATCAGCCATCCTTTCTAGCTTAAACTGCTATTTTCTCTGTCAAGCCTTCCCAGAGTGTCTTGGGCTACAGTGATCCATCCTCCTCTCCACTACTAAAGCTGTTCTATATAGTTGGCCCTTATTATATCTCTACTGTTCACTGGTATTTTCTTTACACTCAAATCAACAAAGATAAAAACATACAGTTCTTGAAATCTCAACTGGTAAAGGGTCCCATAATATAAGACAAATGATATAGTAAGCTATTATTTCTTGCTTATAGCAATTAATTCTCTTCCTTAAATCAACACCCAAATTATTTTTGAATAGAAACATTATTAAGATGTGGTTTTTTTTGGTGGGGGGGGGGTGAAGGAAGAGACGATAATTCAGTATCGATTTACCTTTTATATATGTTCCTCAAACTGTAGGTGGAAATGCTGGGCCATTAAAAAAAAGGTAGCTACAGGTAAGTAATGTCTTTCTTGGAAAGTGAAAAGAAGCAGATTATCTTCTCTCTCTACAGTGAACTGAAATGAAGTGAATGGGAACCTTTGGAACATACAGAGATAACCACCCTAACTTTCATTCTGTAATAAGTGAAATGTTTATTTCCATAATTCCTTGTAATCCAAGACTTGGTATTTTACAAGGATATGGATAGAGTAGGTTTTAAACCTAAGACCCACAGGGTCTCTGAACTCCATAAATTATGTATGCAAAATTAAATACCTACATATGTGCATTTTTCTGGGAAAAGGGTTCATTAGGTTTCATCAAATTCTCAAAGGAGTCCTTTTACCCTAAACAGATTAGGACTCTGGCTGGAATAATAGGGAATGAGAAGTCACTCAGAAGATCCTAATCTGTGAATTAATTACATTTTGGTGACTTCAGATGTTTGAAATATTTAGAACATTACATTTGTAAACAATTACAAAGTCTTAAATTTGAGCAATGAGGCAGCTGTTCAAGTCCAGCCCCAAACGAAGAAATTTAAAGACTTTTTTTAAAAAATATATCTTTATTGATTTCAGAGAGAGGAAAGGAGAGGGAGAGAGAGAGATCGAAACATCAATGATGAGAGAGTCATTGATTGAGCCCACAACCCAGGCATGTGCCCTGACCGGGAATCGAACCCTGATCGCCTGGATCCTAGGTCGAGGCTCAACCTCTGAGCCACGCCCAGCCGGGCAATTTAAAGACTTTTAAAATACATTGTAGGACAGCTTTCAGTTTTAACAAAATTTAATTTTGTCTTTTAACAAAATTTAATTTTTCTCTGCACTGAAGAATTAAGGAGGAAAACACACAGGATGAAGTATCTACTTATTTGCAACAACTTCAAAGAATACCACTAATAATAACAGTAATAATGGCTAAGGCTTACTGACTTTTACTATCTGCTGGACACTCAATATGGAAGACCTCACATATTCACAGTACATTGTGAACTAGGTACTATTTTAATACCCATTTTACAGATGAAGAAGCTTAAGCTTAAAAGAGTTTAACAACCTGTTCAAGGGCACACAGCCAGCAGATGACAGAGTGGAGATTTGCAGTCAGAAGTCCAATTCCAGAGCACTGGCTTTAATTGTCAACACCAATTCAAACAATCCAAAAATCTTTTGAGGCTTTCATCCCATTATTACTCAATTATTTTTCTCCAGGGGTACTAAAAAAGGGGTGAGAACAGGGGACCAAACATGGGTTTACTGAGAACAGGGTATTAAGGGGTACTGGGAACAGAGTACTAAGAACTGTGATACTCAAAACAGGAGACAGAACAGACAGGGTAGTGAAAACAGTAAGAGATTACGTTCTCCAAAGTACCAATTTCATCTGGATTCCTGTCTCTGCCTGATCCTTTAGTAATGAACTGGATCATTTACTATCTGTCCTTCCAGTCCATATCCCAGATCTTTTGAAATGACAGCTTTTCTGATGTGCAACATCATTTTCATTGAAATTTATCCATCTATCACAAGGATGCAACAGAACTATTAGGGCTTTGCACATGTTTGTGTAAACTGTAAGGCAAACACTCACTCTCAAGCCTCAAGTCCAGCCATAGCAACCTGGCCCATCTAGGGGCCAGTAGGCAGGCCTAGGAAATGCGGTTTGCACAAGACTGAGGTTGCTTCTTCCCCCTCCGCCTCCCCAAGACCCCAAATAAGATCTAATACCTCCAGCTGGACGTTTCCCACACTGCCAGCCGGGGCGGCTCCGCCGCAATTCTGGGCCTGGTCGCTTTTCTTCTTTTTGTACTTGTCCTTGTACATTTTGTTGCGGTGTTTCTTGCACATCCACGGCTTGCGCTGCTTGGCCACCTGGCTGGTGGTTTCGCTGCAGCCCTCGTAAATGCAGGTCTTGCACATGCTGCCCCCGCCGCTGCCCCTTTTACGGGCTCCCCTGCTGCCTCCTTCGCCCCCGGAGTGGGTCTCTTCGTCCTCCAGGTCCTCCAGACTAGCTGTGCTCTCGCCTCCCCCCGGGGGATCTGAAGTGTCCAGGAGGTCCGCTTCCTCCTCCCCCGCTTCCTCCTCTCCATCCCCCGCCACGTCACACGGATACCTAATAGGCTTGCCCGCGCGCGTGTTGCCCCCTAGGGCGGGAACTTGCCTCAGGACGCCCTCGGCCGCTGCTTCCTCCGGCCCTCCACAGGGGCGCATCACCAGCAAGGTGAACTGCGAGGCCGCAGCCGGGACGTGGGCCGCAGCCAGGGTCGGACTCGGAGCAGGAACAGGGGCAGGGGCCCCGGGGCGGAGCGCACCACAGGCGGCAACCGGCCCCGAGCCCTCAGCGACGCCCTGCACCTCCGTGATGCTGAGCCCTGGCGGGGGTCCGCAACCCAACTTTTCAGCACCCTGGGGACCCAACGTCACCTCCAAAACGAGACTCAAAATAGGCGAGAGGAAAAGAGACGGGCTCCACGATGGCGCCTGAACTGCGCCTGCGCGACCTCCGTCGTCGGCGCGTTAGCGCGTCTACGCAGGAGCTAAGCAGCGAACCCGGAGCCTCTGAGGGGCGGGGCTGAGCGTAGGACCGCGGCGGACCTGACTGCGCAAGTGCAGGTCCAGCGGCCCCACCCGCGGCGGTGGCTGTTGCTTCTAGGTGGCCGGGTGCAGAAGTCTCTCGGCCCGGGCAGGAGAGCGCTGTTCCCCGTCCAAACCTGCACTCTCTCAAACGTTTCAATGCACTTTTGTGCTGGAATTTACAATATGTAAAGTAAGATTTCTCTTGAGTGATCTCATAACTTGTGGCCTTAGGACGCTGATTGTACAAGATATTTTGCTGCAAACTGCCTGAAACGGAGATGTGAAGTTAGCATGTGGTAGTGTCACAACCTGGCATCACCAGATATCCGTCGGTGAAGGCAGAGGCGGCCTGGCTCCGCGTCAGTGAAGGCAGAGACTACCTATTTGAAAATGGTATAATGGAGAGGGAGTGGGCCAGACCTGGGGCCAAATCGTACTTTTGTTGCGATCTAAATGATTTATTCTTGTTAATCTTGACCCAAGGATATTTTTTCCATTGGTTTTTTAGAGGTGAGGTGGCGAAAGAGAGCGGGGGAGAGAGGGAAAGGAGAGAGAGAGATGTGAGAGAGACACATGATTGGTTTCTCCCCGCAGGCAGCCCCCACCAAGCCAGGGATTGAACCTGGATCCCAGGCAGTGCCCTGGACCAGGAATCCAATGGGGACTTTGGTACACAGGCCTAAACTCTAACCACTTAGCTGCAAGGGCCAAGGCTAAATGATCTACTCTTGATAAATTTGTTGTTCTCTCTCAGAAACTTATATATCTAATTGTTAATACCTCTAAGGTAAGTCTTAAATAATGTTTTCATTAAATACACTGAAAATGTGTGAAAAAAAAGTTGAATGACAAAAGGTTAAAAAACAATGAACGATCTATTATTTCTACCAGTTGTGCAATTGCTGGATGCTCAGTCTTGACTTAGTCAAATCCCAGGTGGGAACAGCTACCACCATGTCCTGAACACAACTGTCATGTACACTTGTCTTTCCATTTATTTCTTACTCCTGGCCTAGTGAGGTTTCCCCATATCATCTATTGGAAAAGCAAAGCAATGACTAACCAAAAATGATACATCCATTCACATTTTGGGTGCTGTGTGGGTAGTTCACCCACTAAAGGGGGAGGGAGCATAGATTAACCGAAGAACTTATATGTATATATGCATACCCAGGGACACAGACAAGAATGTGGTGAAGGCCTTGGGAGGGGGCAGGAGCGGGGTGGAGGACGTCAATGGGGGGAAAAGGTAGATATCTGTAATACTTTCAACAATAAAGATAAATTTTAAAAAATAGAATAAAAATAGAGGCATAATGAAGGGGAGAAGTTTTGGAATTAGACCTGGGTGGCACTGCCCTGTGTGACCAGAGCTAGTTAGTGACAGCCTCTCTGAGATTCAGTTATCTTATTTGTAAAATAAGCAGTCAGTGGTATGCTAGAACTGGGAGATGAGAGCCAGTTATTAAAATTTCAGCAGTTTAATAAGCTGGAAGTTAAACACTGCCATTATTAAAAATTAAGTTATATAAACTTACAATTTAATTATATTAAAAACAAAGGTTAAAAAACTCAAAAGTCATCACTTTCTAATTGTTTTATTATATTTTACTATTAGATGTGTTTATAAGATTATTTGTCTTGTGGACCAAAGGGGGCCATATGCTAAACCTGACAAGCTCAGGGAAAGCCTGCATTGCATGGTCGCCTTGCAAACTCAAAGACCTAAAGTAACCACAAAGTATGGTCTTAAAACTTGAAATTAAAACTTTTAAACTAAAGGAAGTTTGTGGCGGACAGGCATGTCCTAAGGTAGTATTTTTTCATAACAAAGTTTAATCTCTTTTGCATCTGTGATAACATACGCAATTAACATGCCTTTGCAAAAACAAAGTAATTATCCTTTTTCAGGACCCCTCAAAGCACAGGCAATGCTCTGTGGAGACCACAGGTTCCCTTGTTATCATTGTTATCATGTTAATTGTTGACTGTAAACTGTCCTGCACCCACCTAGGTAAAAGAAGTGTGTATCTATCATTTTACTTTTTATCCAATCCCAGAGATTTCCCGGCTTTGCTTTCTCCTGGCTCCCTAACCTATCACCAGTGGATTTCATGTAACCCATCTATGTCTCCTCTTTTGACTGTAATGTATAAAACAGGGTGCAAAACTGCCATTCTCCAGAGCATTATCTCAATTCTTTGAGATTCTCTTTCCAGGCATTTGTCGGCAGTTTGGCTCAAAGTCACAAAAACTCTTCACAGGTTTGAATGCTTCTTACGTTAACAGTATTGTATCTATATGTGGAAATACTATTTAGTGGTGTGATACTGCACATCTCTTCCCAACTCTGTATTGAATGATGTCACATTGGTCGCTCAAAACCAGCCAAGGTGGGTGTATTTACACTATGGAAATTGTCAATGCTACAAAGCAGGGCCTGACTTATTGTTGACTGTCTCCAGATTTAAGAAGATAATAGTGAAGATGTTAATGAATATTAAATTTAAAATGTTTCCATGTCTGTGGCTGTTATAGCCTCCCAAAATTGAAGAACTATATAATGATTTCAACAAGAAGTTGCTTACATTATTCTGGAACAAGTGAAGTTCTGGTATAAATCTTTGCATAAAAATTGTTTTATTTTTGTCTTAGTATAAATAAAAATCAGTCAAAATTCATGTCAGAACTATACTCTTTGTTAATAATGTCAGCAAGTTCTTTGCTGAATTGGATAGGGATCAAGGATTTATTTATAGTTTGAATTTGTGCCACTATTTGTGGTGAAATAATTATAAAAAACTGATAATGGATTTTCCAAGAAATAGCAAGTTACACTGAAGTATGGGCATATGGAATTTACAATAGTCTTGTGTATTTTACCATTATTTGTAAATTGTGTGCTGAACATTCTAATAATTTTTAAAAAAATTTACCAGCAAGCCTGGCTCAGCGGTTGAGCATCAGCCTAGGATCCAGGCAATCAGGGTTCGATTCCCGGTCAGGTTGNCAGGCGTGGCTCAGCGGTTGAGCATCAGCCTAGGATCCAGGCAATCAGGGTTTGATTCCCAGTCAGGGCACATGCCCGGGTTGCGAGCTGCAGCAGATCAATGACTCTCTCATCATTGATNTAGGATCCAGGCAATCAGGGTTCGATTCCCGGTCAGGTTGCGGGCTCAATCAATGACTCTCTCATCATTGATGTTTCGATCTCTCTCTCTCCCTTTCCTTCCCTCTCTCTGAAATTAATAAAGATATATTTTAAAAAATTAAAAAATTAAAAAAATAAAAATAAAAATTTACCAGCATACCACAGAGGGCAATACTGTTGAAATCATAGTACAAATTCCTGTTACGATCTTCGATAAATCACAGCAGGGTATTTTTAAAAGTTTTGTTTAGATATAATTTGCATACCATAAAATTCACCCACAGAAAGTGTATAATTTAATGATTTTTGGTAAATTTATAGTTGGGCAATCATCAAAAGAACCCAATTTTAGAATATTTCCATCACAAAAGATCTTTTGTGTTCATTCTCCATCGATCCCTGCTCCTATTCCCAGCCCCAGGGAGAGACTGATCTACTTTCTGTTACTGCAGATTTGCTCTTTGGACATTTCATATAAATTTAATCACAGTATATAGTTTTTTGCACCTGGTTTCTTTCACTTAGCATAATGTTTTTGAGTGTCATCCACTTTGTATCAGTAGTTTATTCCTTTAGATTGCTGTGTAGTATTTCATTGTATTATTTATCCATTTGCCAGTTGATGGACATTTAGATGATTTTCAACAATATTCCATAATGGTATTAGGTTTTATTATCTAGTGATAAACACATAATGGATCCTCAGACTATTTCCTGAATGCATATATTTATAAATTTTGAATATTAACTCCTCAGATGTATCTTTGGCAAATATGTTCTCCCATTTAGTTGGTTGACTTTTCATTCTGTTGATGGTTTCCTTTGCTGTGCAAAATCGTTTTAGTTTGATGTAGTGCCATTTATTTATTTTTTCTTTTGTTTCTCTTGCCTGAGGAGATATATCAGAAAAAATATTGCTAAGAGAAATGTCTGAGACTTTATTGCCTATTCTTCTAGAATTTTTATGGTTTTGAGACAGTAAGTCTTTAATCTTTTGAGTTTATTATTATGCATGGTGTAAGGAGGTGGTATAGTTTCATTTTTTGCACTTATTTGTCCAATTTTTCTAACACAATTTATTGGATAGACTATCTTTACCTCATTGTATGTTCTTGCCTCCTTTGTCAAGTATTAATTGACCATAAAGCTTGGGTTTATTTCTGGGCTCTCCATTCTGTTCCATTGATCTATATGCCAGTTGTTATGTCAGAACCATGCTGTTTTGATTATTGTGGCCTTGTAATATAGTTTACATCAGGTAATGTGATACTTTTAACTTTGTTCCTACTTCTCAAGATTGTTGTGTCTATTCAGGGCTTTTTTGGTTCCATATAAATTTTTGGAATATTTGTTCTAGTTCTAAGAGATATCCCACTGGTATTTTAATAGGAATTGAGTTGAATCTATAGTTTGCTGTAGGTAGTATGGACATTTTAATTATGCTAATTCTTTCTACCCATGAACACTGTATATGCTTCCACTTAATTTTATCTTCCTCAGTTTCTTTCTTCAGTATCTTATAATTATCCCACTACAGGCTTTTACTCCTTTCTTAAATTTATTCCTAGGTACCTTATTTTGTTGTTGTTATTGCAGTTGTAAATGGGATTGTTTTCTTAGTTTCTCTTTCTGATAGTTCATTATTAGTGTATAAAAGTGCTACCAATTTCTGAACATTAATTTTGTATCCTGCTACATTACTGAATATATTTATCAGTTCTAGTAGTTTTCTGATGGACTCTTTTGTGTAA